ACCCACTGTATATATATTTCACATATATTTATATTTTAATATAGAAATATAAAATATATATATATATATACACCCATCCATAAATTACATTATATATATTATAATTATTTTTTAATCTAGAAATGTATTTTAATATATGAATATGAAATATAAATACATGAAAATTGATGGCCATATACACAGGAATGTCCTTTCCATCCATAACTTGTATTTATATTTTATATATATATATATATATAATACATCTTATATTTATATATCTACCATATATCTATATATTACATTCAAAAAAAGATATAAAAAGTCGAGTTGGTTCTGAACGTGGGGAATGTTTAGTCCGTCACGAGGCTTATAAGCGACTAACAACAAACTACAAGTAAAACACTTGAACGTATAGAAACGAAAAACAGACTGGAGAGGTCCGGAAACACGTCTGTGCCGTAAGGCCTCAGAATATGATGCAGATCTCTTTACTGTGGTCCGTATGGATCTCACCAATATCTGTGAGCAGTCAGAAGATCCGTCTGGTTCCTGAACGTTTGGTTAGATTCTCCATCATGGAACGACGCCGAACTGCTCCACGTCTGTCAAAGTGTCGGACGCTCCGAACATCATACAAACACTAATAAAGCGGGAGATGTCGAGCGGTTCACAGTACTTGGTTGTTCTTGCGCTGGAGGCCGAAGCTCCAGGAGTCGCCAGCGTTCGGTGGAGTTTCTGGCTTCTGAAGAGTGAGACGGACGCTAGTGCTCGACGTGTCCGCTGGCGAGTTTAGCGCGAGGGATGGAGATCTGCTCTCCGCTGGCGTCTGTCGGGAAGCTCACAGAGCCGTCGCTCTTCAGACTCTGGAACTGGTTCTCTCTGGACGGCTCCATGTAGACGAGCAAACTCTTATTCACGTGTTTCTGCAGGATCACCGTCTGCCGGACAAACAGGAGAGAAATACATCATTCCCGCAAAATATACAGTTTTCACCAGATGACTGGAATAGCTCTATTTGGAAAGAATCGTTCTAGGATGATCAGAGTGACCTTGTTGGGGAGTGCATAAAATAAGCAAATGACAAAAATAAATAATTTGTTGGAGAGTGCAAAAAATGTATTAAAATTTTTTTTTTTTTTGGGAAAGTGCTAAAAAAAAAATTTATTTGTGAGGGAGTGCAAAAAATAAACAAATAAAAAAGTATATTATTTAGGAGAGTGCAAAAAAATAAATAAAAGAAAAAATTTTTTTTGGAAAGCGCAAAAAATAAAAAAAATGTATTTGTGGGGGAGTGCAAAAAATAAATGATTTTGGAGAGTGCAAAAAATAAATAAATGATTTTGGAGAGTGCAAAAAATAAATTAAAACTAATTTTTTTTGAGGAAAGTGCTAAAAATAAATAAAAAAAATTATTTGTTGGAGAGTGCAAAAAATAAAATAAGTGATTTGGAGAATGCAAAAAAAAAAAATTTAAGAAAAATTATTTGTTGTGGAGTGCAAAAAATAAAATAAATGATTTGTTGGGGAGTGCAAAAAAATGTTGAAGAATGCAAAAAAATTATTTCTTGAGTGCAAAAAAGAAAAAAAAGAAAAATGATATTTTTTTAAAGCGCAAAAAAAAAATACAAAAAAATTTGTGGGGGAGTGCAAATAATAAAATAAATAAACAATTTGTTGGGGAGTGCAAAAATTTATTTAAAAAAATGATTTGTTGGGGAGTGCAAAAAAAAATGTTGAAGAATGCAAAAAAAAAAAAGATTTGTTGAGGAGTACAAAAAAAATAGATTTTTGGGATGTGCAAAAATAAATAAAATAAAATAGTGATTTGAGGGGGAGTGCAAAAAATATAAAAATATATTAAAACCTTAATATGTATTTATAAAATATATGAAAACCTTAAAAAGTCAACATGAAATCAAAACCGACTATTTTTTAATTGATATTCCTGCTCTAACTGTATCATCACTGATGCTACACTAAAAAAATATTGTTTTTTCTCATTAAATATTGTTTTGCTCAGAAATGCGTCGCATGAACGTTAAAAAGGGCTGCAAATGAAGTTCATGTCGACACCGAAAGCGCCTGTTTTGCTAGAGTGTTTTTTGTAATTATGTTGATATATGACACTCATATGCTGGAATAATTTATTTCATGATGCATTCTCTTCTTCTGAGACTCTTGGCAGACGATGCATTCCTTCAATCTTATGATATCGTTAGTTCTTGGGTCGCAGGTTCTGAGTCGCTCACCTTCTTGGGCGCGCTGTAGCAGGACATCTGAACCCAGTTCTTCCTGCGGTTCACCAGGATGGCCACCAGGAGGAAGATGACCACAGCCAGCAGGATTCCCGCCAGAATCCAGGCCGCTGATTGGTAGATGAGCGTCATCTGCGTCTGGCTCGGGACGTCCCGCGAGAGACCTTCACCATCTACACGAGAGAACGTTTGACATCAGAAACCATCGATCCTCGCGCTGCTGCTGTTTTCATTGGCTGCTGCGTTCATATTGTTCTCAGATCAGTGAGACGAACACAAGCCAACACTTACTAAACATTAATCATAAAATCATAAAATTAAAATAAATTATATATATATATATATATAAAATGTAAAAAAAAAAATCATCAGAAACAAATTGAATTAAAACATCAAAAAAGTAATAATTTTAAAACAATAAAATAAAACACTTACTAAAAATTAATCATAAAAATGTAAAAAATAAAATAAAAAAAA